ATATCCTATAGATATGTATAATGACAGTATAAGTTGCAAAATTGCATATTTAAATTAAAAATAACAATTTTAGTTATGTTGAATTTAAAAATTATTATTCGTAGGGAATCGAAACTTATTACCATTATGTATACTATAAATCAGTTATTACTATACATAATTTAATTTCCAAAATATTTAGATTAATTTTAAGCCAATTATATAACAAACCTATTATCACCAATTTAAAGATTTTAATTAAATAAACAAGATAAGCTTCAAATTTAATACTACATCCATTAGAGCAACCCACACGATAGAGTTGCTACACACAGCAGTGGCCAGCGACTTCCTCAGTTTTATAGTATTTAGGTATTTATTTAAAATGGATAAAGGAATAGTTACCTAGATATCTTCTATACTTCAATTATTATTTCAAAAGCAAACAGTTTGGATTCTGGCATAAAAAACAATAAACTCTTCATGCTTTAGGCAAATATAAGAAATAACATTGTATTTGAAAGATTTATAAACTTCAGAAATTAATTTAGGAAAAAATATACTGAGCATTTTTGATAATTATGTTGCAAATTATAAATTAGTATTTGATTTAGATCAAAACAATTTGAAGAATATATTATTATAGCTAAAAATAAAAGGTTAAAAAAAATCCACATACAAAAATTTTATTAATGCACAGTGGTCATAGTTTGATCTGTTATTTTTAATATAAACAATAAACATATAAATAAATTAAAATTTCCTAATTAAATAGTGTTTTTAATTTAATTGTATGATGTATAACTATTCAATTATGACAAACTWAACTATTAATAACTTTAAATAATAAAAAAAATAAAAAAACATTTCATCTTGATTGAGCATAACAAAAAACTAAAAATATTCAGTCCATATACATCATCAATGTAATACAAAAAGGCTTCTAAAAATTATTTTATGAAGAAAACACTAGATAAAAATAATTAAACATTAAAAGATCAAACATTTAAAAACTAGTTAATTTAATCTTTTCTTTTCTATAAACTTTAAAATAATTAAATCAATAAAATAATGATGCAAAAAACAAATTACTTTTCTATTTTTATATGACTATATAAAATGAATACTGTAGTGTATTAATTCTCTACAAAACTCCAATCTGGATAACAAACAAGTCACTGAAAACCTAAAAATATTAACATAATTAGTGAATTTCAGTAATAAAAATTAAAAACACTATAATACTAATATACTTTATTATATATTAGGTATATGGATACAACATACGGGAAGGAGGGGTGTTTGAAGCAAGTATTTCAGAACTRTTGTGTACACTTATGTTGTTTGATAAACTTTCCTCCTTGTAATTTCTGTCATTATAGTTGAGAAAATCCCAGATTAGTATAGTGCCATCTTTTGARCAACTGACAACTTGGAACTCATCAAATTTGAGATCATAAACTGCATCTGTGTGCATCTGCAAGATACAAAATAAATTAATATTCACAACGCTTCAATAATAATAATAAAAAAAAACAACAAAGTATTATTAAAGCTGTTTCAGTTCTAGATATAAATAAAATAAATATAAAAATGATTGTATGTAATTATATGCAACTTCATGAAGTTCAATTAATATCAGTTCATATCAAAGAGTATTGCATTACAAAATAACTAATTTAACAAGTTCTATTAATTTACTTAATTTTAAATATGTTTTTAACTTCAAACAAGCACGCAACAAWTACCTTAAGTGAACGTAAACACAGACTAGATGCTGGAACTCGGGGGTYTAATGCTGCTTCTAAATTCCAAACTTTAATTTTCCTTGAAATCATTAATATTATATATTAAAATTAAATAACTGACTCTGACTAACAAGATATAACACAGTCTTAATATTATTAACTTAATTTTAAAAAGCTATATCACAAGAATACATGATCGTCAAATTATAAATTATTGTTGTAAGTAATAAACAAGAAAAATTGTGATATACATTCTAAAGAAATAAGAAATTATTAACGATTATAAATGTATCTATAATATATTAAAATGCACAATCTTACCCATCATTTGCTCCACTAACAATTATCTTACTGTTGAATCTAATGCATAGCACCAATTCATTGTAGTCATCCAGTATTCTTAAACAAATACCATATTCAATATCCCATAACCTAGTTACACAATAATWWATAAAATTAATTTAATATACTTCTTTGACATAAAGTAGATCACACTTTAAAAAAGTTATGTTCAATAAGTAGTACCTTATGGTTCTATCAGAACTTCCACTAACAATTAATCGTTCTTTATATTGAAGACAGATTACACCAGATGTGTGACCATTAAGAGTACGCACATATTCACAGCTTAATGAATTCCATACTTTAATACTACAATCTTCAGAAGCTGATACAATGTAAATGTGATCAAAATTTACTACATTTACTTGTGCTTGGTGACCAAACAGAACACAACTTAAAGTAATTTCACAAGGTGACCTCATAACCCATACAGCTATTGAATGGTCCTATAGTAGAGAATAATAATATGATGACTTATTATATATAAAATAATTGATATAAAAATTAAAGCATTAAAAAAAATMAAAAAACTAACTTTTGAACAAGTAACTATCATATAATTGCTAAAACTTAAATGCAAGACTGCTTCAGTGTGGTGAATAATAGTGTTCAACATTTCACCTGTATTGATGTCCCAAACACGAATTGTACTATCACTGGAACTGCTCACTATCATTTTGTCGTCATATTGCAAACATAGAACAGATCCCGTATGGCCATATAATACCTAAACAAAAGATTATTGGTGAAATATTTTGTTTAATAGAAAAGACTAACTATTATACATTACCTTTATACATTTTAATGTTTGTTTATCCCATATTTTTATAGTATTATCACATAAGCCTGCAACAATTTTACTTTCATCATACTGTAAACAGTTTATACCTTTATATTTCTCAGAATAACAATTTATTCTTTGTAATAAAAAATGTCCAGTTGACCAATTCATTTTTATATCCTGAATACAAAATATCAAAAATAATGCACATTATTAATTTATTTTTCTGATTTAGTTAAGTGTTTAAATGATTAATGTAAAGGTGGCCCAAACAAAAAATATGGTACCAAACCGAACAATTTAGTGTTGATGTTAAACTCAAACTGAATATTTTATTCAATTTCGAAACAAGTCAATTTTGCAAACAATACAAAACCAAAATAATTATATACTTGTCGTTACCTAGTCTWTTAATTGCAAATATTTTGAATAAACAATAAGAAATAATCGCTGTTTGAATATTTAACTTTGTATTTTAAAAATAATAAATAAGCATAAAATACAGGTGTATTTTTTGTTGATGAAATAGACAAAATAAACATTTTAAATAAACAGCAGAAACATTATTTTTTGTTTAAATTTATTTTTTAATTTGGATTAATTATAGAATTTTAAAATTTTTGTTCAAGTTAGATTTGGTCTGATTATTAAAACTAGCATCGACTTTTGAATTCAAACTTAACACCTAAAAATTAGTGGTTTGATTTTTCTAACTTCAATCAGTTTGACCTGGCTTTAGTACATTGTATTATAAATATTAAATAATAAATCAATACAATCATCTCATGAAGTATTTAAAGTCCCATAAGTACCTATTTAATTACTTGTTGTGTATCAATAGTATAACTTTCAATACAATGAAATAGTTACACAAATTGTAATGAAAAATAATAAAACAATCATTTTTACTTTAGGTTAACCAAAATAAATATTTAAAATAATAATAATTAAGGCTTTATATCAACATAATAATGCTTAGATAGTTAAACGTTACGTAAAAGAAAAGTATAACATACTTCTATATCTTGTACAATTTTAGGAATCAGAACACTGTAATCAAAATAATCAAGCTTTGAGTGTTTTCTACGGCGTTTATTAGACTTTGTCTTAAAGCTTTGATCAAATAAGTACTGAATCCTGAAAAAGACAAAATACTATWATCTAAATGAAAAGATAAAACTAATACTATTAAGTAATCATATACAAGGGCAAATACAAAATGACATTCTTAACTATTATTAATTAAATACTATTGTATCCTGTCATTTTTATAAACCTCGCTTGCTTATGCCTTTATCTCACACTATAAATATTTTTGTAGACATTTAAATAACTCGATAATGATATTCACTAAATGAAATGTGTTTAAGACATACAACCAACGTAACTTACCATCCTCTTTTTTCAGCAAGTTCTTGAGGTAATGAATTGTAATTTATTGTATGATTGATTCGTTTACTGCTTTTTAACTCTAAAACTGGCATATTGAGTTGTGAGTTCAGTATAATGACACATGTGGGTGTGAAAGCTAGAGTTAAGCAATGGGCTAGACATATACAGTACTGATATTGTGTGAATAACATTAGACCCACAATTGTTAAAATATTAGTGTGTCCAATCTTTGACTCCAGTGAAATYGAAACATTACGACCACCTCCATCAATAATACCTTGTGCCAAAATAGCTCCAAATTTAACCACATCATCTTCATACTTATCACTGATAACTTTAGCATATAGTGAACGGAAATATWTTCCTTCGGAACAAGAGCTCTCAGTTTGGTGAATACAAATCATAGAAGAAGCAATTAGTGCTCCTTGGCGTACAAAATTTACCGAGTCATTAATCATTGGTACTAATAAATTAATAGCATCTACGTGTCCAGTGCCAGCAAAAGCAATACCAAGTGCCATAGCTGCACCATATTTGATGTAAGGGTTATAACTCTTTGTGAGTTGACTGATGATTTGAAGGCACAGATCAGGTATTCTGAACAATAAAAATCCTAAACTTGTAACAGCTGCACAACGTACGTCATCACTAACATCAGAATTTGAAAAATGCAACAATTTTGTAACAGCCGTTTCGCTTCCTGTTCCACAGTACGCCATGGATATTGTATACATAGCAGAACAGCGCAATATAGGATTTTTGTCTTGTAGCAAAGAAGTAATTAATTGGTCAGCTTCTTGCAATCGGTCATACATAAAAAAAGATATTCCAACGGCTAAACCTCTCAAAATTTGTTCATTCTGCGTCACCTGAGCAAATGCCACCATATCTTGAAGAGCTTCGTCATTTTTTGTTCCCAACATAACCAAGCCCATAGCTAACCCAACAGCTTCCCCAAAAACATAGTTGTTTTGATACATATTGATTTTCAGTTGTTCAAAAATATCTTTACGACATGTWCCCATGGCAGACAGACCAATTCCTAGGCAGCAGCCGTGTTTCACGATCTAAAATAAAAATGAAATAATTATTCATCATATATTTTAATGTTTAATCGGTTTTTATGTACTTTATTTTGAGCATCTTTGAGTTGTTTGAGAAGATAGTCATTAATAGCTGTACCATGATTGGCAAAGATCAAACCTAAAGCATATAGTCCACCGCCTTTACTATAACTTAAACTTTCTGATGAATTATTTTTCTTGAGACACAAGAAGCTGTGTATTAGTTTAAGAGCGTCTACTTCATTGCCTCTATGAATAACACCAAGTGAAATCATAGCAGAAAATATTTCCCAAGTAGTCCAGTTGGCTAATTCCAGATTGTACCTATAACATGAAATGGTTTATTGTTTAAATATTTAAAAAATTATGTTATACTAAAACAATGAACAATTTACCTTAAAAAATGATCACTTGTTGTACCACTGTTTATAAGACCATTAGCGATCATGGTGGCCGTGTGACAGATATTTGTGTAAACTGAATCTCTTGTGTGATTTAAAATATACATGTTTGTGTGATTGTTTCTAGTTAAAAATTGTAAATTTTTTTCAATACTCAATTTTCCACTCAAAATTTTGGTAAGTTTTTGTATCATTTCTTGGTGGTATTTGTCATTAGGCCCAACAGATTCAAAAGAGTGTACCTTAGTATTATGTTCAATTGCAGTAACTTTGCTTGACACAACAGTAACAGTTTTAGCAATACGTGTACTAGAAGGAACTTTTTGCCATAGTGATTTAAGAACATTAAACAAAAACCGCTGAGATGCCAATTCAAATAAATCAATTGCTATCTGATATGCCATTAAGCAACATTTTTTATCATTTTTTTTAATGAGATTTTTAAGAAGTTGAGCTACTGATTTTGRGTCATTTAAAGATATGAAACATTGGCTTAAACTTAAGAAGTCACTTTGTTTTCGATAAAGGTTGACGAGACTTAGTAACACTGTAGTACGAAAACTACGGTTTTCAAATGTGCACATGGTCACTTGCTTAGCGTATAACAACATTTCATTAATGTTGTCTACTGATTTGATACATTTGTTGAACATATCCATACGCTTTGTTCTCAGTGCCAATTTCAATCCAAGTTTGTAATTTTTGTCATCTAAACACTTYCGAAAAATACAGCTGACAACGTCTTCCAAACGCACATCCATGGCCATTAGTGGGGCCGAGCACTCAGTACCTCTCACACAGACTTTTGCGTAATGGTCCAGACACTTGGCTATTATTTTCTGAGTGTATTCATCACAAGCTTCCATGTTGATCATATCGCTGGCAGCTAATGCGTATTGCATGGAATTCGGCAACGAGTCTACGTGCAAGTATACTTTACTCGTAAACAAGGCAGCCAGACTCCGTTTCGCCAATGTCTTGTCCTTATAGATAAACAGGTCGGGTTGGATTTGAATGGCACACGAGAAGTCGTGCCAAAATTCATTCAGGACACTGTCCAACGTGTGATTTCCGAAAAATATCAACTTGGACGTCAACTCCTCTAACAAAACAACTACGTCCTCCGTCGACATTACACTCATGTCGCCGGTCGGTAGTGACAGAGTTCGATCTACGGAAACAACTTAAGTGTCGCGAGTACACACTGAAATCAATTTCGTGCGAACGTGAAAAAATCATATTTCCGGTAGACGAGTGATTGCCGCGAACGACTCGCTGCGATGTATTTACTATTTTTATACTATAGATTGATAATGTTGATTACAATCAAAATGTCGACTAACTGAATACCTACCCAAACACCACTACCGCGGTCTCCGAAGATAAACTCCACAAAGTATCTAGTTATCATTCGGTTCCGTTCATCATATTTTTACTTGTTGATTGTGTAGGTGTTCTGCGGTCGGTCAGAAAGAACAGTGTAGTTTTGCAATTATTAATATTATAATATTAATTCGATGATCGCCGATCGCAGTACACCGCGTCAAAATCATTTACGACCAGTGGTTAATCATATTCTCTGTGAACTTGGTTCGGTCTCGAGGTTCCGATAGTTTAGACATTTGCGAGTTACATAATAGGCTGTGACTAGTGAAGTCCACTAAGGCACCAAGTGTCCAAGTGCGCACTGGCCACCTATTTGCCAATATTTTTGATATTTTTAATTTGAAACGAAACCGTTTTTTTAACAGTGATGTGTTATCATTATTATGTTATCAGCGAACAACTACATCTTTGGTATATGGGTTGCTAATAAGTCGTTACGACCAATACGACCACAGAATTTTGTGCTAAAAATTATGACTACCTACCTCGAGATTCGTATGCTACGATTTAATAATACTACGTAAATGACTTCGAACCTCAGCCGGCTATAATTGTAGTGTCTTTAGCAGTGCTTCGAAGTTCGAACTACGATGCCACGATGGTACGATGTAGAAAAGTCARAAGACCTTTACATCGTGATATCAGCCATGATGTGCTTATGAGATAAGCTCACAATAACTGATAACACTAAATACTTATTGAAAATAATTAAAAAAAWTTTTTTTAGGTTTTTTGTAAGCTATTGTCCACTTWACCAGTTAATGGGTTGATTAAATTAAAACCTTTTATTTTTTTTATGTTTTAGTTTAGATTTATACAAATATCATAAATTTGTATGTAATTTAATTATTGCGAATGTGGTTCGGCGAATAGGTAGAACTAAAATCAGTCAATATGTTTGGATGTGAGTACCCATGTATATGTACTGTAATTTTTTATGAATATAAACTTACAATCAAGTATTTAACTTAAATAGTTTTAACATAATATAATTTTCTGAATGTGTAAACTGTTGAGTACAGCGATTTATTTTTAGTAGCTCATACGTGTAACATAATTGAAAAAACGGATTTACAATCTTTGATGTACTTATATCGTAATATTGTCATGGTCTAATAGGCTCAATTAAGTTGATACTTAGCTAGTATTTACCAATAACATTCTTAACTAGTCAATAGCAACAATAATAAAAAGATTTTAATAAATCTGAAAAATGAAATTGATTATACCTAGGTATTGAAAATGCTAAATATTGTACTTTTAAACTAAAGATTACTTAATATTTTTAAAATAATGATGTATTATCTTATTTATCTTACCTACACAATACACATATTAACCAATAGTAATTGCTATTTAGGATTTGTTGCATTTCCATGGTWTTTTGTCTTGGTTGTTTAATCATAGAATAGATTAAATAGTTGAAAGATTATCTTAAAGTCTGTTTAATTTTTCAATGCTGAAATTATTAATAAATGTTGACTTAATTTTGTGCAATCGTTAAAAAAATAATACCAACAAGAAACAAATTTTTTTCATATATATTACATCAAAGCCAAACTTGTAACATATTGTATGTTTAGGTATTTTTTGAGAAAATTTGATTTTGATATTATTTAATAAATTTATTGACAATTTTTGCATGTTTCCTTTTAATATATGTTTATCAAAACAACACACAGTTCTTAATTTCATATCATTTGAACATTTTAAAGCCACCAAGCATTTAATGTAGCAGTTCAATTGAGTTGATTACTAATAACAATAACCATTAGTTCAGATACCTACTCAGAAAATTAGTATTTAGTAGTTACCTACATATTTTAAATTTTTTAAGTACATAAATACTTGCACATTATGTTGTGCTTTTTTATTGATATAATTTGTCCTCTCAACAACTAATAAATATTTCAATTGTATTTAATCATACATTTTTTGGTAATTTGTTGCAAAGTATTTCTACTCCAAACCTTTTAATTTAATAAGTCCTGAACCCTATTTATCAATATACAAAAAGGTACCTATAATATTATTTATGATGTACATTATTAATTACTGTTTTTTTTTTAATAATGCATCTTTGTTTTTGAATTGACTGTGTTTGTCTAAAGCAGTCTCGATTGTTTTAGATAAACTTTTTTATTATACTGTAGTTGGTAGTTATACATCTTTGTGATTTATTATTGAGTTTCTTTATATTAGGTACATAGATAGTTGCTGAAAAAAAAATTGAAAACTTATYAAAGTAAAAGGGGCTATTATATTATAAAGTACATAAAAGTTCATTTAGGTACCTACTTTTCTAAGGTGTTTGGTAATGCTTTTTTCTTAAGAATACATAAGACATAACTAATAATTAAATAACATTATTGAACATTTTACAAACATATTCTCAATAAATAATTTATTTTATAACAATATCATCACACATGAATAAAGAATATTTTTGTATATTTTCATGATCGATTACAAATTGAAATTAAATAATAATAAATTCATTAAAAAAATGTTTAAAATAAATCATACTTAAATATTTATTATTATATTCACGAATACGTGCATAGATTACAATAATTTTTTGAATACCTAGATTTTTATCAAATAATTGAAAAAAAAGCATATTATGACTTATCATATAAATTGTTATTGTTTAATTTCAACTACTTAATGTATAATTACAGTATACATGTCATAAGTATTAAAATACTACTCAAGTAATACACTAATACGAGTTACTTACACACTACTCTCCATATTAATCTTATTGAAAATATTATACAGTGAAACCTCTATATAGTGGACAGCCACGGRGAATTAAAAATTGTCCATTATAGAGAGTTGTCCACTATTGAGAAAACCTCTACTTAGTGGACATTTGCAAAAAATTACTAAATGTCCACTATAGGGAGACACTATAGGAAATTGCAGGTTATATGTACACTGTATATGAACATATACATTGGAATATTAATTTATTATTTATTATGTATGTATATTATAATATAAATATGTATGTTTATGTATGTATATTTAATGTAAGTATGTATGTATTAAAAAATTATGTAGTATGTATAAAAATGCTTATATAAATGTTTAATGATTATGTAAAATTAAAAAAATCTGTAATTTTTTTTGTGTAAATTTTTTTGCTCTTCAAAATGAATTTGTAAATTGGCTACCATTGATAATGCGATTTCATCTTCTTTATTTTTAAATTATTTATTGTTTTCCAAACTTCTTCAAACGTTGGATTGTATATCGAATCGTCTTCATCTTCTTCTTCTTGTTTTTCGAATAGGAAAACCATTAAGATAAGATAAAATATGAACGAATATATAACAGATAAATATAGTGTTTTTATTAAACGTTTTCGAAATGTACACGTATTGTGTCCATTTATGAGAGGTAATTTTTAATTTGGTACCAGTTTATTGTGTCCAMGTCCACTATTAGGAGTGTCCACTACTAAGAGGTTATAACTCCTATTATGCGCATACATTTTTGCCGGGGAATTTAGAAGTGTCCACTATTGAGAGGTGTCCATTAATAGAGGTTTCACTGTATTTTATTTATACATTTTAGTAAGATAAGTTGTGATTTAAGAAATCGTTAAAATTATTATAAGTTACTTGTGCGTTTTCATTAAATACAGGTAATTAACCAATAAATGTTAAGTACATTGGTTTTTTGTATAATATTTATTGTTTCGCTCCTTCCTTATTATATATTTTGATTTTCATTTGAAAAATGAATGGAATGTTATTTTTATTTTGTTGAAAAAACCTTTGACAGTGATTTCAAAATATTAAAATAAAATTATTTTTGTATCAATTAATTAATTATGCTTAATTTTTACAGATAAATTCCATTTTGTGCGCAGATTCTTCAGAAGATTCATGAAACCAATGACTGTTGAAGAAGCTGAGGCTAAGAAAGCATTACTCTCAAAAGCATACTTTTTTATAAGTTTGATGACGTTTGGTTCTGTCCTATACCAAGTGAAACAAGGTCGCCTTAATTGGATGGAAACCGAAGGATTAATTCCAAACGATGAAGCCAAACTCTCACCTGGTATGTTTATTAATATKATTATCATTGTCTGAGACCTGAGTTATAAAAGAAAAAATTTTTTTCAGCTTTTCAATATGCTAGGATGCTAGGAGTTGAAAAGGCTACTGTTATCAGAATTAAAGGTACAAATGTTTTGGGTACTAAAGAGTACGATAAGGAATCATTTGATCCAACTCAACACATACTCGAAGAAGAAAATTCTCCCAAAGACCCTGAAAGAAAATTTTTAAAACTATAATTTGAATTGTATATTAGTCTAGTCTACAAAATTATTGAAATTTGTATAAAAATGAATACACTTTATTTACATATGTTATACTTGACTTCTTTTAAAGTTTTTGTATCCATTTTGAGGCACGGCTACTGCAGGTTGTTCTTCCCACTTGGACGCAGTGTGTAACACGTAACCAGGATCATTTGGAGATTTAGGTTCTTCCGTGTTCGCCCCAAAGTAATATCGACTTTTAACCGATTTTTGTAACGAATCATTCACTCTCTCCACAGGTGATTTCAAGGGTAGATCAGTAGGTCTAGTTGGTCTCTTTTTTTCCGAAAAAACATAAGGTACTCTATCATTTTTCACTTCGTGCTCATTTTCCTCYTTTGGACTTTCCTGTTGATTGTGCACTGTGCTTGTRATACTGGGTGATTGTAGCTTAACAMTGCTCTTAACGTTTACAAATCTGAAACCMAAAATTACATTTTTTTGATAAAATATGGTAAGTATCATATTATAATTTATGAAGCTAGTTTAATTTTAATTTTCCGTTTGATTGCATAAAATACCGAAAAAATTGAGCACATCGCCATAATAAGACGACGTTAATTAATAATAACAAGGCATTGAAAACAACAGACACAATTTTCAACCCAATCTCCGATATCTGATTCACTTCAACCTGAAGAAGGTAAGTAAGCACTAAGCAGTGTCGAAGCCAGCGGGACTACAGCTGCTCTCCCTTGAAATGTTAAGAAAATTTAAAAATTATTTTAATGGTCTATGAAAGTCGCTAAAAAGTCTTGGATTGTATTTAAAATATAAAAAGAAAATTCATCGCTATTTTTATGATTTTTTTTCTACATGTTTAACTTATGTAAAAACCTGAGTGTAAACCACCGATGTGTAAAAATTGATCAGCGCCCCTCCCAAGAAAAATCCTGGCTACGCCAATGTAAGTAAGCACGTGATTCAGTACCTGCGACGGTAATCCGGAGACTCCTCGGACGGCACGTTGATCTCGAGTTTTTTCATTTTGGGCAGGTCCATGTCAGTGTCGTACCACTCGGAGTGCCTATGTCCGTGACCCACGTCGAACCCGCGGTCRTCCAAGTACCTGCGACCGTACTGAAGTGCGGCCGCCGCGTCGACTTCGTCATCCGGTCGTCCGCGGTCCCTGCTCGTCGTCGTCTGAACGCTCTCGTTCTTGGTCTCCACCGTCCGACCATTGACGGCCGTCCGCAGCAAGCCGTTTTTCTGCTTGTTCTCGACCGTCATCTCTCGCTTCGGTACGCCGTTCGTCCCAATTACGTGCACTCCGTTCGTCCCGTTTGCGTGCACGCCGTTCGTCCCGTTTGCGTGCACTCCGTTCGTCCCGTTTRCGTGCACGCCGTTCGCCCCGTTTGCGTGCACGCCGTTCGTGCCATTATTGACATGCACCGCACCGTCGACGGCGGCCCTAGTGCGCGCAATGTCGCCGTACCGAGTGTTCTTCGGCAACAGGTGCGACTCTTTATCGTTCCGCCTGTTCGACATACACGTGTCCAGCACAAACACCATGCCCGTCACTATGGACAGGGTGCCCAGCACAAGCGCGTTGACGACCAGGTTCCCGGGCACGCTGTCCACGGCTGTGAACACCAGACAGCCGACGGCGATGAACAGCGCCGCGCCGATGACCAACAGAAACGATTCCTGCAGCGCGCACAAAATATCACAATTATTATTCTTACAATATTGCATCGAACATTTTTGTTTGTTCGTTGAAGAAGGAGTGAAGAGTCAGGTGGTTGACATTTTTGAAACGAACGAGTTATACAATTACATATTATATACCTACCCATGAAAACTACGAAAGAATTATGATTTTTGAATTTTAAATGTAATTTATTTTATCGTCATTATTAAATTGAATTTAATTAAACTTAAATTGATGTTTGCTGTATAGGTACCWACTAATGTAGAAGATTGTCATCGTTAATATGAGTGTAGGGCGGTTAACAAGCAAGGTATCAATAGGTATAAATTAAAATAATTTATAGTAGTCTTTATTAAATARATACTTACACGAGTTATACCTATGAATTATGAGATTTATATACTAATAATGGKCATTACTTATTAGATAATGAAAATTATTGTATTTAAAACTTAAAAGTTATAAATAATTAAAAATATAGTTTTTCTTTGCACAACTCAAAAGATTTTCATACATTTTTAAGGTTAGGACGGTTAGGTTRAYCTAACCTCTATTTTKAATTCACCATTAATACATGTACAAATATATTGTGATCGATATGGTCAGGTGGCGGACTTACAGTTTTCTTGCTATTCTTCAGCTCGCCCATCAAATACGCTATGTACAGCGCCACGCATATTATTATRTAGCCCCCGAAAGTCACATCCGCGAACAAAGACCCGGCTCCGTTCCTGGTGATGTTGTTCAGCAACGGCCACTCCCTGGACGACTTCTCGAAGAAATAAAACAGTCTGGTAGCTTCTGCGTCCGACCATCTTTTATAGAGCAGACAACTCAAACACAAAATCTGAAACGATAAAAAACAAAAATCATAATCATCATCATGTGATCAGTGAACAAAAATATAAACCTAATATTTATATTTATGACAACAAAATATTKAAAAAACTCTTCTTGTYGAAAGACACATACCTATGCAGGTAATCATGTATAATCAGTTCTATTGATTTTTTGTTTTTATCTTAAAGCTTTATTTACGTATAGACATATTGCACAAGCTGTGCATCATGTTTCACTCGTTTAACATAATCAGTATAGGTATTGCAGACATAAAATGTACAAATTGTACAAAATGTTTAGTTGTTAGTGTACTCAAACTTGTCCCATGAACTTGATAGTTTTGTATGTTATATATAGATGAATCATGAATGGGCTCAATATAGTACCTAACGATAACTAATAAGTCGTATAATTTTCAGTTGTACCACTTGTACCTACCATTGTATTTAATTACTATATAATATTTAAAGTATATAACATGTGCATAAGTTATAGGTATACAATAGATACCTATACGCAGACAATTACATGAAAATACCTATATATGTCTGTATGTATACTGTATAGTGTACACGCCATGAAATACAAATACAAGAAAATATTAACATTACAAAATGGTCAATAATTATACCTATGTCATAAGTCAAAAATGTTCATTTCGTCGTATTAATGTAGGTATTAAACAAGGGGACAGGTACTCACATTGGCCATTAAAGTTACTCATTCCCAACAGCGCRTTATTTMTTTCTATCTTAATGTTTTTATTACGAATGAACATGTTTTGATTTAATAGACATCACCTTGCTCACAATAATTACAATTACCTATTAGTTATTGGTGTATAACATTCCGTATAAAATACGGAAYAGATTATTAAAAGGTGAGGTCTCGTTAAATAATTAGCTATAATGGGTACCCAATCGTTATGGTCGTGGAGATATACAGCTGTGAAAAATTCATAGTAGAAATATAATATAAACATCTCTTAAACGTACCTGCCTATAGTGCCAATATATTACCTACCGTAATTTATAAATGAAAATCTTATACTACTTACCCACAGTTGTGTATAAAATATTATTACGAGTTTAAATTACAAATATTTATATTATACATAGGTATATAAACTTAGGAACCTGATAGTGGTAGTATTGTGATAAACGCCCTACCCCCCGATTCTTGTTTTTTGAACAGGGAAAATAGTACATAAACTTAAGTTTATCGATAAAAGTCTTCTTTTGTAATTACTTATTATAAAAAATAAATTATTTACTGTGTAATGTAATGAGCAGTTTTCAGTTTTCAGTTGYCATCGAATGACTTTCAAGTGTAACTACATTTCAGCATCAGTATTTCAGATTTTCAAAGGTTGATGGATTGTACAATTTTTTTTTTTGTCGCATGAATAAGAATTATGTTTGCTGCCTTTGCGGTATCCTTCCCATTATATAATCCCGTTACAATTTGTTATGAGTGTTTTATGTCGATGCATTGTGAAACAAATGTAATAAACAATAAAATAGTAAACGAAATAGGTATAGCTTCACCTACTATCAAAACTGCAAAAATACTCTTCTCTATGAACGATTTCGACCAAATCATCTAATATTATTCTCGATATACCTCAACAGTCAACAAAATGACCTTTATAATTTTCCMGGAGCRTAAGCCACTTTCAATTTGCAAAAATAAAATCTGACTTCGGTCGGTAGAGTAAATTTTCGACCATTTCACTCAACTCAACTCTCAAATTCTCAAGTAACTTTTTATACATCAAATATTGTGTAAAAAATAATAGATTTACCTGCGGGTATAATACGCAAGTACACGTCGTTAACGCGGAAAAGATTCGTTTTCAACTCGTTAGTAAATCTATTGATAGATGAGTACCTACAACACCCGTCATTAATTCTTATGTAGGCCATTGTAATAATACATGGCGAAGCCGCGGTGTAGTCGGGCTTATTTTATCCTTCAGTTTTAATTGTTACTGAGTTTAATTTTCATTTTGAACTTATACATCCACTAGCTAGCGTAAATATATTATACATGAAATATACAAAAGAACAAAATAGATATTTACGTATTTTATTTAGGTACTGCTATACATATATATAATATATACATCTCTTATTTATTCACACGTGACACGACGTGAGAGTACCGCAATATTATATCAATTTTGTAGATGACATTGAGTAAAGCACGTGTTACTTGTAAGAATACAATATTATGTATAAGTAAATGTATAATGTATATGCTGTATAACATTTAAATTAAATCGTTTCCCAGGCGCCAAGACCTTGAGTACGAAGAGATTTTTTACTACAATAAAATAAAATTACTTCTATATAAACCTATGGGTTTGCCTACTACTGTACAAAATAATTAGTACTCTGACGACACAACGGAATATGAATTATGGTTTTGCTTCAATAATTACTCATAACTGAATAAACAACATAATATTATACTCGGTTTTTTTGTACCATTACTCATTAGTAGGTACCTATCACCATTAAATATAAAAGTGCGTAGCTACTAGCTGTAATACCATATATTTTCAAAATGTATATTTTMAAAGTAAAATTTTGAAAAAATAATGGTTATTCAATCCGTTCTCGTGAAACTAGAAAAATGTAAACAGGAAAAAAACTAATAAACGTATATATGGTTCAATACTCGGCTGRTGACAATATTTTTGTACTATTTTTAAAATTTTAAAATTATATATTAATTTATCGATTGCCATCATATATTATATTAATTTTACGTGGTTTTTCTTCTTGAAGAATAAATCAAAAATATTGTATGGTAATATTATTATTAAAACTTCAGGTATCTCTAGACACTAATGCAGTTTATGATAGAGACATATAGTAATACCAAATAGAGGATTATAATGAAAGGATTTTGATGTCAATAATATTAGACAAAACACTTTGCAATTATACTGTGTACAAATTATTATTTAACGTTTATTGAAACCAAATGACAAGTAAAGTTATATAAAGCCATAATATAGCAGGTAGCAATATACACGGAGAAAATTTGACAGGTAAACTAAGCCTTTCCGATTTGAAAGTCATGTTGCTAATCATGATGTATATGCAAGTTTTATAGGTACCTACCTATATAGGCTATATAAAACATAGTTTTGAGATTAAATAGTTACAGAACGTATAGTTTTTATAGTTTTCGTATAAGTATAAATAACATAAATAATAAATTATTAGATGAACAATTTCAGGGGGGGGGGTTAACACTCAAAACTCTCCTGGCTGCGCTACTGGGGGTAAAAATTAAATTGCAATATTTTTTGAATATTATATTTAGCATAATGCGTTTAGACAAGTGGTTTTAAAACATTGTAATGTGCTTGGGTGGCCTGTTTTTGCCGCAAAATATAAGGAATAATTTGTAAACAAATTCCAGAAAAAAAAAATAATAACTATCGTTATTAATTTAATTAAAGTACATTTCTGGTGTATTATTTCAATGACATAAATCGCGTATCATATAAATAGCTAGAAAAGTTACTGACGTTTATACGCAGTGATACATCATCAGATATACAACACACCGCTTCAATATTGCCCATTGAATTTTTAATTAAATTTTCAACTGGTTTTCCATTTCATTCGACGACCGCGAGGCATAATTGCATAAGYAATAATGGTATCTAGCTATACTTTATGACCAACAAAAACACTAGCTCTATATACTATATACTATACATAATACACCGGTCATGCWCTCGTATAATGTGTAATGTGTGAGCCGAGCACTTAAACTTTAATATGCAATTCAAAAACGGTATATAATATGTGACTGCCGCCAAGCGATATGTATAGAAAACCAGAAGAGCAAATATTTGAAATTCMCTATTCCCTATTTAATAATAATRACAWTTTTTTTTGTATTCGAAACATTCTGGTGTAGCAATATATAATAATATGTAGATACGTTTTACGTATTCGATGAAAGTATATTATGATGCTTTATATGTATATTGTGCGCGAATATACTTAATAAGTATCTACGTAGCATAAAAATCATATTTCTTATTTACCACAGACAAAAAGAAATTCGATACATATGTGTTTATTAAATTGTGCGCAGCAAATAAGTAACTTGAGAAGTTGAGACGTAAAAAAATATACATTAAGTATATTATATAGGGATGGGTATCAGTTTACGGTTTACGCAATTTGTGGCGCTTATATTAAAATGTATAACGTATATGGTATCTCAACCAATAATTTATAAAAATTAAATCGATAGATGATTAGWTGAACGATTTATTTAAATGATCCTACGCAGATTTCTATTTTATTTACCAATGTAATATGTAATATTGAATTGTCGACAACCATACATCTATTTTATTTACTATTAAAACAGGTTATATAAAATAAAATAAATATATAATTTGTGTTACTAACAACAATTTAATTTTGATATTCGCGTTATTTTATATATATAATGTTGGTTGATAAATTATTATTTTTCCTCTCCTAGTTTTTCACCCAGTAAACTGATACATACATCTACTTCATTCATGAAACGGATTTAAAGAAAAAATTTAATGTCAACGGGGGTAGGACGGGTAGGTTAAATTAAACAAAAATGATTAGCTAACTTAGAATATTTGATAGGTACAAGTAAAAGTATACCAAATGTGACATGCCCATACATATCTAATAATAAATCCAATATAGTTCCAGATTGGAACTATATCGGTTAGGTTAGGTTGGAACTTCCAGCTGTACTGTTTAATACTTAAATGTTTAAAAGTGTACCTAACTATTGTACCTGCAGTAGACGTATAGTGGAAATACTATACCTACATAGTAGAAACCACTTTCAAGAATAATTTACTAATATCCATGCATAATTTAATTAATTATTTTACTTAAATTCAATGATACCAGCTAGTTAATATCTATATGATATTTTTTTCTCATACTCCGTTCAAAATTTATTCAAATTTGATAACAAAAAAAAACATTACATCAGTTTGATAGTGAATTAAGATAAGAAAAATGGAATTATTTATTATATAATTTGTGCTTCGCAAGTAGTCGCAATGAATAAAAACAAAATTAATAGCGTTTATAATAAGTTAGCCTTATTAGCTAATACGTCGTACATAAAAAATATTCTTCTTAGCAATTTACACGTTTTGTCAAATGTATACCYCGAAAAGACTTTTCGTACGCAATACGAAGAAAAAATTATAACCTTGAACATTTTCCCACAGCCCGTATTCTCATGAAGGTTGCTCGCCAATATATTGTATAATTAAATAATTACTTTACATATGATACATGTATACGTATACATATAATACCTATATTATAAGGACTTTGTCACTATTGTTTTTAATTTTTATACTTTTATTGTTCATTTTACTTACAATTTGAGAAAACTTGAAACTGGCCCAGCAATCGCAAACGGACATATTCTAACCTTGAAAATACCACCAAATTCATTTCATCACAACCTGTAATTTTATAAACGCAACATATAAATAGAGAAAAAAAAATATCGTAATTGATTCTATTTTGTTAKTAAACACATTCGCAGTAGATACTGTAAAATAAAATCTATTTTGTCGTTGACTCTTGACTGTTATATGTACGTTTGAAATGCACTGTAACGAAACTATTCAAAATAAATTTTAATGCCACTCAATTAGGTGGTACCTACTGGCTTTTACCTTTATATAGTACACCTACCTACATAATACAAACTGCATACTTCATACACCTAACTCCATTATATTATATTGTTCAATTAAAATAAATTTAACTTCCTATAACCTTAGTGAACTATTATTGTTTCTAGTTTTCTACATAATAATACTGCTGTTTCAAATTGTTTAGTTTTGATGAAATTTAGTAAAACTTTAAACTGTACATTTTTAGAAACTTATGTTCTGAGAATAAGTACGTAGGTAGGAAATAATTGTGCACATTAGGTACCTATAGCTTTTTCTGAACAAGATGTATTAAAATTTAAAAATAAAGTTTAGGTTTACTGTTTACTAGGTACTTATACAAGTTGAACTTAAAAATATTATCAATCCTCTAAACAAAAATGTCATTAAAAGTATATGAAATATCTATTTATAATTTATGTAATTCCTATATATATATTATATAACGTGACACATTTAATAAAATATTACATATTATATTATATTATATTCACTCGATGTATACAATATATAATAATATTATGTAACATAAATCAAAGTTGATCTACCTACCTGCGATATAATAATTGTGATTTACTGACTGTAATTCATGATATTAAATATTCTGCAAGCATTATGGAAGTTAAAGCATTATGGATTGTAACTTATAATTATAGTTAAATACCTATAGGCTATAGCCACCTAGGTGGCTAAGTATTATAATACTTTTTTTCTTTTTTTCATTTATTTATTTACCTATTAACAATTAAATGTTATTAAAATATAAGTATGTATATAATACTTTATATAAATACATAATATACATATTACTAGAAGTTTAATCTATAATATATAATTATATCTACATTATATACATATAAATACCATATTGGTACCTACCTACTATCATTTAAAACTTTAGAAAGTGTAAGTGCGATTGCACTTAACTTATTATCAATCTGAATAAAACATTTTTAAGCCTGAACTTAAAAACATATAGAAAATGTATTAATAATTTTAATGTCGAGTTTCCGTCAATTAAATATTCGTCTAAATATAGAAGTGTGCTATAAGCTAGTCTATAGTTTTCGTTATTCAATTCTGCATTCACGTAAAATGATTTGTTTTAGATTTATATTTCGGAACACTAGATGTTATAATATATATAGCTGGTAATATATGGGCCTTGTGCTAAAATAGTACCTACTCGAGTTATTCAAATGTTTCGACGTATTTTCGAATGCGTAACTTGGTAAGCGAAAGTTATATTCCGTGCGGTGATATAATTTAAGTAGATATACCCATCGTATACTTGCGCGTACAACACAATTTAATATGAATTTTATCCTGCTCATTAAACTGGAATAAATGATAATATTATGCACAAGAACTGAAACTGAAGTAAGTACCTACTACCTATCATTACTACCTATTGTTAACGTTTAGCATTTAACGAAACGTCGAAGTAATAATATTAGTAGGTAAACAAAAGAAAAGAAAATTATATATTTTCTTACTTTTTATTCTTTTATAGATAACATATAGTGTAACATAATATTATAATGTTATTATTTTGTAAAATACCTATATAGGCTTATTGATATTTGATAAACCCGGATTCCTCCCGGTTCGTCGTATCGATGCGTATTACGCATTAATAAAATGTTGATTAATTATATATATCAATATCATAATATCTACCAATATAAACTAAACAATATTTACTTATGGATATTATAATTTCATGTTAACATATTATATTACTTGGTATTTAATTCTATTGTGAAAATATTATACTCCAATAATTTATAAAACTAATATAATCTACATTGTTTTGTCATATTGATATATTAATTATTAGGTAATTTGAATTTTTTTTTTTTGTGCACTACCTAGCTCTCCATAGGCGGAAATCAATAGAAATTTCTGGGGGGGGTGGGGCTAAATTAACTAAAAAAAACTATATTAAAATAGAATCACATTTCACATGAAGCCTGACAAAATTTTGGAGGGATTATTACAACATTTGGGGGCTAAGCTCCCCAAGCCCCCCCCATTTCCGCCTATGTAGCTCTCCTACATTCGATTTTTCTAAATACGTCCCTGATAGTCTAATTATTCGGTACCTATTATGCTTTTATGATTCTTATTAAATTGTACATCCCAATTACAAATTACAAATACGAATAATAATAATTTAATAATACTATATTATAATTTTAATCAAAAAGTTAGCACATTATACTGGGTGGATTATTTTACTGTAAATCAGTCAATATTTCTTAGGAAATAAAAGGAATGTTTAAATTATATACATTTTAGACTTTAAAAACATACTATTTTATATTTTTCAATATACTAATCAGTATTCATTCTTGAAAATTTGAAATAATTAAAAATGTATATTTTCTAATAACTACACGGTGAAAGTATATATCTATCTATATTTGATTATTCCGAAGTCTATATTTTGTATTGTTTCCTTATGAAAATTAGCTGATAAGGATATCAAAAATATTTAAATGATAAAGAAAGTAACATTGTAACACATAGATACTTAAAATAATTAGGTAGTATTCTTATTTCTCAATGAATTTGTCACATGTTATACATATAATAATAATATACCTAATATCATATACCTATTATATGAGATAAATGAAACAGATCGTATAATGATTTAATCGTAAAAATCTTAAAATTAAATYTAAAACCCGGATTTTAGTGAACGTGCCCTAAATAAAGAAGAAAAAAAAAGTGAAAACTGTCAAAAATATACAAAATTTAAAAAAGACGTATGAATAATAWTATTCTAATTCAAAAATACTGAAGTACCTACATGAAAGTGTATACGTTTAAAACGAACATCGTGTGGCTATAACTTTGGACAACAATAACGCTAAGTGCTTACTGCTTAGTGCTTCTAAATCCCAATCCTACTATAAATTGTAACATTATAATATCTCACACAWCAGTTTCACAGGTGATAATAATGATAATATCATAATAAGTAGGTTCCTATTTATGAATATGTTCAATTGGGGCCCATTATCTTCTTGAAGAATAAATAAAAATATAATTAAATKATTAATAAATATAGGGCATGGGTACTTACGCTGCGCGGACACTGCAGTTGCAGGTGCAGAACATGTAGTGATGTGTATTAAGTTTTAAGTTCTTCACTATTGTAATATATATGTATATAATAATAACCCGCTATATAAGTCTTGACCGGACGATCGATAGTTGCTGCAGGAACACGATAATAATTGACAGTGATCGGGTTCAATATTATAATACTGTATGTCGTACTTGCAGTGCAGTTCGGAGTGCGAGTATAAATCAAAATATTATTATTATAGTTTGTTTGTTGTGCGGGTGTTTTTTCAGTGCACAGAGGGTGAAGCACTCGAATATCGGCCAAGTGACGATCGGAAAATCACACTGTATAATATCATGATATATCTACGAAATGATTGTGCATTAATAAAATATACTAAAAAAATACAATATTGGTCGATTTATGATATTACACACAGTGCTGTAGATCTGTCGAACGTACACGATGGATATAATATGGCACGCGACTGCGGTCTAGGTCCCGTCGTGCGTCGCGCCGCGAGGATGACACACGCGCRCCGTGCGGTGTTGCGCCAGGCCCGTCTTTGCCCCACCCACCGCSAGCGATATAATTATTTATCCATCCAGCACGTGAAATTTTTGGACTTTTTTATATTATATATTAAATTTAGTAATATTTAAATGTATTTCTATAATATTATTATTTATTATTAATTATTATCATAACATTTCAATCGTTATTCTAATGTAATATATGTTACATATTATACATTCAGTAGCGTACGCAAGATTTTTCAAATGGGGGCCTTTAAAATTAACAATTTACAACTTAATTGCTCAGCAACAGATAACTCACAAGATTAGGTTTGAAAAATAAATTAGTTACCTTCTTAGGTCTTATACTAATATGAAAATTAAAATGTAATACACATCATATAAACATATTAAAAAAAAAAAAACATTTTCTCATAAAATATTAATTGTTAATAAAAATAATTTTATTTTTATTTAGTCCAGCAAATTAATCATTTTAAATTCACTTTAAGAAGTTTAAATATTCGAAAATGTTTAGTTGGGCTGTTTGAGTGCTGACCCTTCAACTTCATCTCAGKCATCTCACTGCAGGGTACGCATCCATACATATATATTATTATGTATCTACACGTCACACAGATCTGTCGTATAAAGAAATGTACTAATATCGGAGAGAGGTCTAGGGGGCCAAAATKTTTAGAAATGTATAGCATACACTTTAGACTCCACCATAATATATGCATAGACATGACTTATCTCTTTCTAACAATGTTATTATCTTTTAGATACAGCTAAGTTGGTGTGGAGAACGCGTATATAGTTCATATTATATTAATTATTCGTCTATGGTATACATCACCACTTACCAGGTAAACGGTCGTGTCCCCCTTTTTTGTTAGTGTTTTGACGCGATAAACGGCCATCTGAATAATAATATGTAATATTATACTACACATGTATCGCACAAGCCACGAAATAATTTTTTCATTCAGACGATATTGCAATCCACCATTAGGCGCCATACGTCTGTAATTCAGGCTGCAGCGTGCAGTACGATCTATACAATGGAAAAAAAATTAGTATAAAAACGCGAATATTATAGACTTTTATCGGACAATGAGTCATATCCCCGCCATATAAATTGACAGTAGTGTACCTCCAATACACATTGTTATATACTATATAGAATAAAACAAGTACTTTATGTGTTTTATATTATCATTACTATTATATCAAAAATGAGCATATGTGACCGCACCCAACAAAATTCAATCAATTATAATCGAACAGTGCACTCAGTAGTTATTAAAAATCAAACTCACCCTTCGGCCATCATCCAGTCTGTTGTAGCCTAGGTTTATAATAATGTAAACCATAAAATGTGACAATTTATTATTATTGTTATTATCATTTTGCAGATCTATAAATATATTACGGTCGACGTCGCGTGTGTTCGCATATTGTAGATGGAGTGAAGAGGCGCGTTCAAGTCTTTTTAATTTTAAAACCCAACAGGTGGTTTTTTCTGATGTGCGTCTAAAATATAATATATATATAATACATATAGGCTCAACATAATAGGTATATTATATGGATTGTGAAATGAATATTAAGCTTCCGTGAAATACGTGACGTGATATATAATAGGTGTGGTAGAAGGTACACTATTCACGCAATTATACTATATTTTATCATTCACAAAAAAAACCTAACAATTAAAAATGATTAAGACAAAACACAATAGTACCCGGTGAAAAGATTTTCAAATTAAACAGTTCAACATCGAAAATATACTAGCACGAAAATACATAATATAATATATATAATTACGCATATTTATCGGTTTGRAAAGAATAGTATAAAATACTATACATTATGCATATTAAATAAGATACGACATAAATACATATAATATTATTAAGCTATTTTATGCAACAAAACGAAAAAAAATTCAAACTAGAATTATGTTATATTTGGCAACCAATCTGACCTAATCTAACCCTCACATCATATTTTTGGCCCTGGAGGCTGGTACAAAACTAAATCAGGGCCACTCTTAACAATAATAACAATTCATTTTGAAATCTTTTTTTTATATAAATATTGAAGTAATCATTTGCATGAACGTCGAGCCCCTCGAAAGTCGGGGTCCTAKTACCATGGGTCCTTCTGACTCTCTCCCCGCCTCGGCCCTCGTGGGAGTCATGCATACACTATTGACAATAGTCTATTGTAACTTGAACATATCGAATTATTTATACATTATATTGTATTTATGTTTAATTTCCTAACGCGCACTCGTCTATATCATCCACTCTGTAGAACATAATGGTACTTTTTTCTCGGGCTGTGACAGCACTGTTTCCATTAATGAACCCTKTTTGAATATATCATACGTTTGTAGATTTAAAATACAGGACATAATATATATTTCTACTAATAAGTCTATTTGTATTAACCAACAAATTATGTATATATATAAAAAAACATGCCGCCGACATAAAGTCAAACATTGCATTGCACAATAAAAACTGGTGTAGGGATATAGGTACTCACATTTACTCATAATCTATAAATACAAGATATGTGTTGAAATCGACATTTTGGTAATTTAAATTGCTAATTGTTGTCTATGTATATAATTACAGACATGTTCCAAAAGTTGACGCGCTTTCGATTTTGATTTGCTCGCGTTTGACATACACCAGGTCGAAATTCAAATTGTATAACTATCTATATAGCACACGACTATCGCTAATCGYGTTCAATAATACATATTCGAGTATTCATAACAATAGGGTCTGTAATGACTTAATGCAACTTTTTACGACCGAYTATTATAATATATTAGCAAATAGCAGACAGTCGTAAATCGTAATATACATACACAAATTTCACAAATGTATACAATATTTAATATTATGTTGTTAATAGTTTCAGTATAAAGGTATGAATTCATGACAAAATATATATATATATACATTATTATAACAAGTATAATGTTTTTTTACGCAGAGTACCTACCTACATATACCACGAATAGCGGTTTATTCCGTGCTAATCTAGTCGATCATTTTTATTTTTTATGTAATCACAATAAATTATATAAGATATAACCATTAACCACATATTCTTATAGATATACACAGGTACTGTAGTACGAATATATATGTCGTTTATTAATGCACAGTATTTTATTAGTTTGTATTATGTCTGTACTCTGTATACGAGTATAATATATATTATTATTTATTACCAATCGTTGATGGTTGTTAGTTGTTACGGTAMTATCTTTATAGGTATCTATGCCAAAYATCGCAGTTATATTAATTAAATCAATTTATTTATTTAAAATTTTAATATAAAAAATTTATACTCACGAGGAGTATTTATAGTATTTATAGGAGTATTTATCACTGCTGCCTAATAATAACTATTTTAATAATTTTGTAGTAAAAAAAATATATTGTTCGATGGATTTGAAACTTTTACGTTAATGATTAAATTTTATACATACATATTACATATACTGACATTTTCCCAATTTCATTTATACAACGAAACTACTCATATCGTTCTACACTAAGGGTATTGATTCAACAATTAATCACTACCTATAAAGCATGATATAAATAATATAATATATACTGTTATACATAATAATTAATAATTAAATATTAATTATATAATATATGCTTTGTTTTTAACGAAATTTGAATCGATTTACCTTGGTACTAGACTACTAGAGGGAAAATAAATAAGTTACAAATCACGCTATTAGTGTACCAAAATGTCGGTATTGATGTACATGACTGGAACGAACATCATCGGCAGTAAGCTGCAGACGCTGCAGTGATTGGACTTGATACTTTCGATTGTTGTGCACTGCAACAACTTGACATCTGAGGTCAACTTAAGTTATACAGTTATACTTACAGTCCAATTTTCGGAATATAGAACAGACGATAAATATGTATTAATTTAACAATAATGACGTGTGTCTATGGACTCAATAACGAAAAGCTGTAAATACAATCTGATAATATATGAATTTTTCAGAAAATTTTTGTATTAAAATTGTATTTACATAGTAAAATAATTTGATAATGCTTGGCAGATCTTTGGTTTTGTTTTAGTTATATAATACAGACAACAGACAGACATATGTCCATAGTCGATCTTTTTTAGATTTTCTATAAATGTTGATAAAACATTTTAAGCTCCGTAAAAACCTTAGAAATTAAATGCAACATTCCTCATAAGTATTYTATATATCAACTAAAAAATATCGAAAATACATTGTCATAATAATATTATGTTATAATGATTTAAAAAGAGAATCTTAATAATTAAGATTTAATTATTAAATTTGTCAAAAACTCAAATATTAGCAAATTATTTTGCATAGTTAAAAATTAACAAGATGATCAATTTTTATAGTGATCGAAAATATAATACAAAAGTTTCCTTATTAAGATAACATTATTTTAACGGGGAGATTTTTAAATTATAGTTATTTATATACTTATTTCTTTATACATGAACATTGCTATCTTAAATCATAAATTGTGGGTTTTTATCATGGTTCATCTTCTCATTTGATCTGCAGCAGAACGACTTCAACTTTAATATACTAATTAGTGATTACAATAATCCACAATATAATTAATATAGCAYATAAGTCAATAGGTGTAATAATCAATAAACATCTACATGTCACTCACCCATGTATAGGTCATAGGTGCGTAATTCAACACGGTTTGAGCTCAAAAAAGATTACCAAATACCTATTTATGGATTTCTCTGCGGAAGAAATGTCTAAAATATATTCATAATAATAAGAAATGTTTATTACAATTTATTTAAAGCTTATTACACATGTCTTGTTTACACGATAAAATAAAATATTGTACCTGCGCTATTTTCCTACAGATTATTATTTACAAATTGGTGAACCTATATAAAAACACAAGGTTAACAGGAAAACCTGACAGATGAAAATCTTTTGTGTATTTTTTTTCTTTATACAATTTATTGACTTGTGCGCTACACGCGTATAGTATATATTTTGGATATTCTGATCAAAGCGATGAATATATTAATTTTACAATGGTGTGTTTTTTTATTTTTTTGTCTTTGTACACGATAAGAAGTCGAAATAATGCTTAGATTTTCTCGTGGACGGATACAGTTGATGGCCTAAGCTGAGGGAGGGCAATTTGTTAGTCACTAAAGTTGTTAGCAACTAGGGCACCGACCCATCAGGCAAATGTACATCATGCAAACCTCACCCTCCCCCCTCCTCAAATGGCATCACTGTTTATGTAATTTACCTTTAAAATGTGGTCAAAATCAATTCATCTTATTCATATATTCAAATATAAAAATACACAGTAGAAATATTTGATTAAGTTATTATATTACTTTTAATATATAATTATATATTCGACTTTGGCGAAAATGGTACAATACTTACAAAACGCTCCTTCTTTTTCTTCAAAATAAGATGAACAATAATTGTATTCCATAAGCAATTTATGTTGGAACCGTAAACCACTTTTTCATTTAATGTGCAAGTTTAAGTGGTCGGTGGTATCCACAAATTTGTGAGTGCTTACAATTGGTTTATTTACACCAACCACCAACATGAAGTTGTTTTGATTTAGAAAATGATTTATATATTGTATAATAATTTCCAAMTAAAAGAAGCAAACTTATACTAGATGTTTATCAGTTCAGACAAATTATTTTTATTTGCAGAACAATCAATATCGGTCATTAAAGCGATGAAGTGTCTCGTTAGTATTAAGGCACAAAGAAGCATTATCAGTGATTGCGGTGTTGTGTCCAAGCTTTCTACCTTAAAAATGTATTATATTATCTATAAAACTGAATAAATTACCAAAAAGACAACATTACATTAGTAAAAWTTACAAATTTGCATTCACATTAACATTGGTAGCATTTTTCATTCAGTTCATACTTTTGGTTGCTGATGATCACAATCATTATCATCAGCGTTCGTAACTTCTGCATTTGGTTTATCTTTTTTGTAAAATAGGATACAACWGTGTTTTCTTCTTTTGTAAGGCATGAACACGACTTAGGGCCAGTTGTACCGCCTCTGATTAAAGTTAACCGTAGTTTAATSGGCCGAATTTGCACGGTTAAATATCTGTTATCAGCTGATTAAGCGTAATCGAAGTTTAACCGTATAGACAGTACAACTGGCCCTTAAGATCTTAAATCATGGACATGAATAATTAAACGRATTTACTAAAGCCGGCTAAGTGAATTAATTTGCAGTGTCTCCATTTAAAAATAATATAAAATGTCGCACAAATATGTACACGTTTGATCAAATTATTATAAAAACGTGATAAAGGACGTGGTAACACTTACATCGTTCGAAAACAAAATGACAAATTATTATWYTGATAAAAAATGAAAGATCTATATTGTCCCCTCAACCCCTATTAATTAGACCACTGTTCCTAGTGGTAAATTCACCACGATTCTGCACCAATGACTACTTCGGAGGATTGAGTGCGATACTGACCTATTTTCGATTTTAGCGTTCGACCTCTGATCACATAGCGTTGTTTTTTTCAACAAGAAGTCCTCGTCGTTGAGCAACACCGCTGTTTTATAAATAATATAAATCTGAAGTAGTATAAGCACGCACACAAACACGACGATAGGGACTTGTGGGAAGGTCAGCACTAGGCCACAGTTGACGGACGTCGTGTACATTTTTTTATTGTTTTGAAACTTTTTTTTTTACAATACATATAATATCATATAAATATATATTTATATACATAAGTTACCTATTAAGTATTATATAGGGTGTCCCAAAGAGATCTAACAAATGAAATAACTTTTGTTCTAATCAATATTTTTTAAAACGTTCTTTTAAATATAATCCATAGACACTTGCGCTACATTTTTAGAATACATTTTTTATTTTTTATTTTTAAATATATTTATGACACAAATTACAAGTTATTAGTTAAACTAAACGTCATTTTTATTTTGTTTCAAATTGGTATTAATTCCATCATCGAAAAATGCAAAAAAGATTACTTTAAAAATAATCAGTATCA